AAATATGGACAAGCTTCTGGTCAATGCATTAATTTTGACAAATCTTCTTTACTCTTTGGTAAAAGGATTGGACAGGAGGTCAGACAAGAAATCAAAGATACACTTGGCATTCAGAATGAAGGAGGAATGGGCACTTATCTTGGGATTCCGGAGGATATAAGTGGGTCCAAATGCAAGCTTTTTGCATTTCTAAAGGATAAGCTAAGACACAGGGTTAATGGATGGACAGGAAGGTGGCTATCAAAAGGTGGAAAGGAGGTTATGATCAAGTCGATCCTATTAGCTCTGCCGACTTATGTTATGTCATGTTTTCTATTGCCCTTGGAGATATGTGATGCCCTAGCTAGTGCCATTGCACAGTTCTGGTGGAGCTCTAATCCCCCAAAAAGGGGCATCCATTGGTCCACTTGGGATAAGGTATGCTTACCAAAGGAGGAAGGTGGGATTGGGTTCAGGCTGATTCATGAATTCAACTTGGCATTGTTGGCAAAACAATTATGGAGGCTGAGTCAATATCCGGATTCTTTGGTTGCTCGTGTAATGAAGGGACGGTACTACCGATCAGGTTCGCCTTTGTGCAAGATTCCCACTAGTAACCCATCATATGTGTGGACTAGTATTTCAGCGTCGCGAGAACTATTGCTATTGGGTGTCAGACAGAAGATCCATTCGGGATATGAGGTGAGAGTATGGGAGGACCCTTGGATTCCTACCATACCTGCGCGACCGGCGCTCCCATCTGCACCGGTTGTGCACCCAAACATGAGAGTCAGTGCGCTTATTAATCAAGAGACGAAGACCTGGGACATGACAAGACTGAACCAATACGTCAGTGCTGTTGACATACCTCTCATAAGGAGTCTGTCCGTTAGTTCGACACATCGGCGAGATACATTCTGCTGGAGCTATACTAGGCATGGACAATATACAGTTAAGTCTGGATATTGGGTGGCACGGAATATTCTAAAAAGAGAGGAAGTGCATATAGTTAGTGAACCCAGTATTACTAAACTACAAGCGCAAGTTTGGAAGGTACGAGCTCCACAAAAAATGTGTCATCTTATGTGGCAGATAATAACAAGTCAGTTGGCTGTTACGAGTATCTTAAACTATCGCCATATGCGGTGTGATAACTATTGCCCACGTTGTGGTGAACCGGAGGAGTCGATTACACATGCCATTTTCACGTGCCCTCCTGCAAAGCAAGTCTGGGCATTGTCGTCTCTTCCCACCAGCCCGTCTTTATTTCCATTGCAGAGCACATATGCGAACATGGATTACCTCTTCTGGAGGAAGGATGCCTTAGGTGGACCGGCAGTAGACAAGGATCCTTATCCTTGGCTAATCTGGTATATTTGGAAGGCGCGGAACGACAAATTGTTTAAAGGAATTGATAGAGACCCAATGGAGACAGCACGATATGCAGAGAGTGAATGCCTTGCCTGGTATCAAGCTAATGAACAGTCGCCCTTACCTTCTCAGGTCGACACAAATGACGATAATCAGATCGCGAGTCTGGGAGACATATGTCTGGTGGATGGTTCCTGGACCTCCACAGCTCAATTTAGCGGGTGTGGCTGGATATGGAAGGATAGTATGGGGAAAGATCAGCTGATGGGACTGCGTAACTTTGATAGAGTGGAGTCTGCTTTGCATTCTGAGCTGGAAGCACTGCGGTGGGCAATGGAGAACATGCTTCAACATTCGCCATGTCAGAGCTTTGGGACGGACTGTAAGGAGGTGATATCGATGCTAAGGAAACCACAGGAATGGCCAAGCTTCTCAACGGAACTGGAAAAGATCGCTACCCTGCAGATCTGCTTTCCTGCGTTTACAATTGTTCATGTGCCTAGGGCTCAGAATGGTTTTTCTGATTCACTAGCTAAGACTGCTCGATCCTTTTATCGAGAATTGGTGTTTGTAGGTTGTTCTATTCCGGTCTGGATTCCCAGACCACCTCAAGCTTGAGTAATAGATCAGCCGTTCGTTGTCAAAAAAAAAAAAAAAAGAAAAAAAAAAAGAAAGAGATATGTGTTTTCAAGAAGGGGAGATAGATATCCGTGATCTGGATCGTATAAAAATAAAGTTAATGAATTCAAGTTAAGCAGGATCTATACAGCTTAATTTATATCCCAAAATATATACCTGTCATAGCTGCGTAACAAAAATAAGTAAGCCAATCTCTATATGATTGTACTTTTCCTTGGCCATTGTAAATCTGTTGATTAGATTTATTATGAATTTTTTTATTTTAGATACGTGTTTGTAAATTATCAATCTTTAATTTAAATATCTTTGTGGTGCAGGAGACATTGGAATATTTCTTTGTAGACATTGTTCTTGAACTTTAGCTGATGTGAATCCCTGTTTTTAATGATTGGTAATTTAAATTTATAATATATGATTATATGAATTATGTTAGTATATTTTTATTGGGAAAATCGCATAAAAAACCTTCAAAGTGGCAACCACTTACACTTTAAACTCTGAGAGTATTTAACAAGCACTTTAAACACTCAAGTTGGCAAATTTAGCATATTAAACCTCCAATTTGGCTTACTTGTACATCAAGTCAAAAAGGTGACCGGTACTGTTCAAAAACGATGACGTGTCGGTTTTTTTTTAAATATTTTATTAATAATAAATATAAAAATACAGAAAATATATAAATTCATTAAAAATATTTAAAATTCATAAAAATTCAAAAAAAAATCATAAAAACCATAAATATTAAAAAGTCACAAAATAATTAAAATATTTTATTAATAAAATATTACAAATAATAAAAACTTACAAGAAATTATAAAAAAATCCCAAAATAAGAAAATTCACAAAAATTTAAATAAAATAAAAATTAAAATTAAATAAAATTAATATAAGAATAATAAATGAAATAAATATAAATTCCAGAATAATAATTTTATTTGTTTTATAAAAATGAGAAAACACTATATTTTTTTAAAAAAAGAATCATTATCTTCAAATGATTCTAGTGAACCAAATCAAAGCAACAAATTAAATTCCAAGTCTTTTAGCACCTAGACATTCACCTGCATACGTTTTTTTAAAATTATATTGTTATTTTTTTGTGTCACTATTATATATTATATATATGTCATCGTATAATTAATCGTATTTGATATGTACCATCA